AATGCTAGTGTCAGAACTACCCTGAACAAAGTATGTGTGTGTGTGTGTGTGTGTGTAGTTAGTTATTTATCTCTTTTTTTTTTTTTTGGTACCGGGGATCAAACTCAGGTCCTTGCACTTGTGAGGCAGGTGGCAGAACCACTGAGCTAAATCCCCAGGGCAGTTATTTATCTTTTAAAAGTATGCTTTACCTTTATGTTTTTTAAACAGGTAAACACATGTGTTTTATGTGTCACCCCCTTGTGAACTCCTTTTTTTTTTTTTTTGCGGTACCAGAGATTGAACTCAGGACCTTGCGCTTGCAAGGCAGGCGTGGTGCCACTGAGCTAAATCCCCGGCCCCCCTTGTGAACTCCTTCCACACAGCTTTCCATGGGCTGGGGCTCCTCTCAGCTCCACTTTCTAGAGTCCTCACCCTCCTGCCAGTTAAGGCCTGGTCCACTGCCCCACTAGGGTTCCCTTTCCTTCTCTAGGGTTCAAGCTGGTATTCTGGATCCTGAGTTTCTTTCTGGGGCTTTTCTCTCATTTTAGTGCAGAAGACTGTCCAATAATTTTTTTTGTTTTTAATTTTGGAGACAGGGTCTCACTATTTAGTTCAGGCTGTCCTGGAGCTCATTGTGTAGCCCAGGCTGGCCCCGAACTCGTGACTATCCTCCTGCCTCAGCCTCCCGAGTACTGGGATTACAGATGTGTGCCACCACACTCGGCTCTCCAATAACTTCCTGAAGAGGTGTGGGAGGTAAATTTTGCGGTTCTTTGCATATCTAAAAATATATTTTTATTCATTGTCACCAGTGATTAATAATTTGTTCGGATTTGAATTTTCCATTGAAAGTAATCTTCCACTAGAAGGCACTGTGCCTTTACCCTTCAGTTCCCAAGGCTGTTACCATTTAGAAACCTGGAAGTATTTTTACTCTTGGTCCTTTGGAAGTCTTTATCTCCTCTCACTTGCTCTCTCTCTCTCTCAGCTTTAGTTTGCTCTCTTTATCCTGTTGTCCTAAATTTCATAGGAACAAGTCTCTTCATCATCGTGGCCATTCACTTTAGAGATACATGCCTTCGATTCTGCAGAGTTCTTTTGAGTACTGCAGCCCCCTGATCCTCAGAAGATCCTTCCGTGGCCCCCAGTGGATGCCCCAAACCTAAGACAACACAGAATCCTGTCTGCACCATGGTTTCCCATAGATACATGTCTGATAGTTTATAAATTAGGCACAGCAAGAGATCACCACAATAATTAAATAGAGCAATTATAACAATGAACTATAATGAAAGTTATGTGAATGGAGTCTCTCACAGTGTCACCTTCTTGTGATGCTGTAAGGTGACACTAAAGCCTACAGGAGCAAGCACGGTGGTGTAGCAGCACTCAGTGACTGACGGGAGGGTGGGAAAGCTGGCAGCATCTGGCCAAAGGGATGATTCCCACCCTCTGCAGGATGGAGCAGCATCACACTACTCAGAGCACTATGCAGTTTAACACTTGTGAACTGTTTATTTCTGGAATTTTCCATTTAATATATTTGGATTGCAGTTTGACTGTTGGTTACTAAACCCACAAAAAGCAAAACTGAAGATAAGTGAGGACAGCCACACACACACACACACACACACACACACACACACATATATAATTTTTTTGTAAACATTTTCCCTTTGCTCACTCTCTTTGCAAATCCTGAGTTGGGTGATAGGCATCCTACAGTTTATTCTCTAATCTCTACTTTCCTCTTTCTTTCCTTCTCATTTATTTATTTTTTGTTTTTTTGACAGGGAGCCTCATATGCAATTTCAGCTGGCCTTGAACTCACTATGTAGCCCAGGCTGGCCTCAAACTCATGACGATCCTTCTGCCTCACCCTCCCAAGTGCTGGGATGACAGGTGTGCAGCAAGCATAGCCTAATTTCCTTGTTCTTATCAATGATCCATGTCTCAGTTACTTCACTCCACGCTTTAGAACAAAAAGAATATGTTTATTTCAATTATGATACTTATTAATATCCAAGAGAGAAGTTCGTTCTTATTTTGTTGTTGCTCCTTTTTTTTTTTTTTTTTTTTTTTTTTGGTACGGGGAATCAAACTCAGGTCCTTGCGCTTTCGGGGCAGGCTGTGGAACCACTGAGCTAAATCCCTGGCCTCTGAATAATAGTTTCATTGAAGTTTTTTTCTCCTTCCCCCACGTGGCTTTATTCTATTTTTTTCTTTTTGAATGCTTACAATGAAAACCTCTTTTCCTGCTCTTGTAAAATCATTCCTAAGGAAATGGACCTGCTGTGTTACCTGTGTTATCAGGTTAGGACTTAAACCGGGAAATCATCACCAGAAACAAAGATCCTGCACAGGTTGTGTCCAGAGGAAGAGGCTGTCAAGCCCCTTAAATGAGATGCTGGCGATAAACAATCTTCAGGACCAACACTAACTTGTAGCCGTTTTATTCTACAAATTATCACACCTGTAATTCTTAGCACCTTGTTCATTCTCCTCCTTCCCAGTGCTTGAGAATTGAGCCTAAGGATTCAGATGCGAGGCAAGCACTCTACCACTGGGCTACATCCAGTCACCCAGTACTTTTTTTTTTTTAACGGGATCTTACTAATTCGCCCAGGTTGGCCTTAAACTTGCAATCCTCCTGCCTCAGCCTCCCAAGTAGGTGGAATAACACGCACCATCTCTCCGTTCACCTAACATTACATTGTTTTGTTTTGTTTTTTGGTACTGGGAATCGAACTCGGGCCCTTGCGCTTGCACAGCAGGCGGCGAAAACACTGAGTTAATTCCCCGGCCCCTACATTGTTTTTTTGTTTTCTCCAATACCATCGTGAATCCAAACGATATGGCTTGTGATATATATGAATACATAATCATACAGATTTGTACTTATATATTCAACAAGTATTCATTGAGTGCCCACTCTATGCTGCCGGGCGTTGTGGAAGGCACTGAAAAATTCTTGGACATGATCAGAGTCACGATGTCCTTGGCCTCCAGGAAGTGGCCTTCCAGGGCAGTGCCTAACTTAGCAGCGCTCACCTAGCGTGGCTGGCGCAACACATAGCTATTCGGAGACTACCTCGAATCCTGAGCCCAAATCTCCTCCCACACTGATTCAAACTCTGGAGTACAAAGAGGAGCCAGGGAAAATAAACCACAAAAGGAAGGTGCAGGGCGCTGGGCAGGACGGCACAGGTCTGTAATCTCAGCACTCGGAGGGTGAGACAAAGGACTGCAAGTTTGGGTCCACCTGGGCAAATGGGCAATTTAGCAGCTTAAGCGAGACCGTGTCTTACAAAATAAAAAAGGGCTGCGGATGTAGCTCAGTGTGAAGGCCGCAGATTCAACCGCCAGTTCAGGGTGGGGAGCAGAGAGATGGGGCAATCAAGAACCAAGAGCCAGCTTGGGGGAAAGGAGTTTTAAGGTTCTTGCTCAGGCCCTGCCCCGCTCCATCCCAAAGCGCATGCCCAGTCCACAGGTAGCAGGCTCTATCCGTGGGCAGGCAGCGGGTACCCGGCCGCAGACGCTCTGGGGAGAAGAGGAGAGGCTTTTGGGGAGGAAGACTGTGCCTGTTTGGGGTCAGCCCTAGCGGGGAGTCCGCCCACGGCTCGACAGCGTACATACCCCGAGCAGAGGGTCGCGTCTGCAGCAGGGGCAGTCAAGCGCCCCTCGGCTGTGAACTCTGCTCTTCTAGCCCGAGGCTGCCGCGCAGGAAATTCTGTTTCTAAACCTAGGCTACATTTTGCTACAGGTGGAGCAAGTACTGGAGTAACACTGTTGCGGAGCAAGGCGTGGAGCCAGCTTCACGGGCACAGAACGGATTCCTCCTGGCGGGAGCCTCCGGGCCGCGGGTCTGGGCCGGGCAGACGAGGACTCCCCTTGGCCTCCCCGCCGCAAAAGTAGATGTATTTAAACTGGAAACCTAAAATAATTCTTCCATCGCTGCAGGATGCCATTAGGTAATGTCTCCTAATGTTTCCCAGGGACCTTCCAGGCCGGTTCATTTAATGCCTCAGTTGCGCTTTGTTCCCGACTTCCAAGCCGCTCTCGGAAGACTAGAGCCAAGTGAAGCCTGGCTGCTCCAGCCCTGCTCATGCCTTTAAAGTGTGTGCGGCGACCCAGGCCGGTGCTAAGAACGGCGGCGTGCAGCGCCACAGTGGGTTCCTCTTGTTAAAAAAAACCTGGAGCCATGTCAAGCTCATTTAAAATACAGTGTTTCTGAAATAATTTTAAGCTTACAGAAATATTACAAAAAGTTCAGAGTACTCATATACTCTCCATCTGGCTTCCTCCAATGTTAACCTCTCATATATAACTGGAGCACTATTGCTGAAATCAGAAATTTAAGATGAATATATCACTGAGTTATCAATAGATTCTTGGAATTTTACCAATCTTTCCACTAACATCCTATTAAAATTAAATATATATATATTTTTCCTTTTTTTGTACATGGGATCGAACTCAGGACGTCAGGCTTACCAGGCAGGTGCTGTGCAGCAATCCTCCTGCCTCAGCCTCCACAGTGCTGGGACTACAGGCATGCAAAACCCCGCCCCACCCCTAATGTCACTTTTTATTCCAGGTTACCAGAGTACATTTAGTTATCATTTGCCTTGGGCTCCTCTAGACTGAGACAGTTTCTCAGACCTTCCTTGTTTTTCATGCCCTTGACAGTTTTGGGGAGTACTGGTTATACATTTTGTGGGTTAGCCCTCAACTGTAGTTTGTGTAGCATTTTTCTAAGAAGTAGGCTGGGGTTATGGGGCTTGAGAGGAAGAACGAGGAGGAAAAATGCCATTATCATCACTTCGTATCAAAGGTCCACTTCTGGTTTTTTGTTTGTTTATTTGTTTTATACCAGGGATTGAACTCAGGACCTTGTGCTTGCCAGGCAGGCACAGTGACACTGAGCTAAATCCCTGGTTCTCACTACTGTTTTATCTGATTGGGATCCACTCCAGAATCCCACTTTGCATTTAGTCATCATGTTTCCTTTATCTCCTCTAATCTATAAAAGTTCCTCAATCTTTGTCTTTGATGACAATAACACTTACAGTTTTCTGGTTTTGTGTTTGTTTTTGTGTGTGTGTGTTGTTTTTTTTTTTTTGGTACCCGGGATCAAACTCCAGTCCTTGCACTTGTAAGGCAGGCAGCGCAACCACTGAGCTAAATCCCTGGATATGAGAATTTTCTTGTTCCTTTGTTTTCTTTTTGTTGTTGTTGTTTTGTTTTGTTTTTTTTTCTTTTTTGTTGTTCCTTCTTTTTCTGTAATTTTTTTTTTTCCTTTTGGTACTGGGGATTGAACTCGGGTCCTTGCACTGCTTTCTGTAATTTTTTAATTCAATTGTTTCTTTACATAGGTACGGATTCATGAATGCTTAAATTTGTGGGTTTTATTCCTATAGTGTCATTGTGTTATTGTTCAAATTGTTTCAGTTTTGGCCACTGTGATCTCCTTCAAGATCCCCTGGTGTCCTTTTGTCTTAGTTACTTTTCTTGTTCCTGAGACGAAATACCCAACACTCAAAGTTAAAGGTAGGAAGGTTTATTTGGCTCACCGTTTGTAGGGCTTTCAGTCCATAGTCGGCTGGCCCCAGGGCAGGGTGTCAGGGCAGAGGGGCACTGTGAGCAGAAGGCAGGAAGGCAGCAAAGCAGTGAAGTAGTGAGGAAGCAGCAGCAGCCTGCCTCTCCCATTTATCCCTTCCAGGCTACCCACCCTTTAAGTGGTGTCCCCCACACCCAGGGAGGGCCTTCCCATTATCCATACCCAGAGCTATGCCAACCTACTCAGTGGACTAATTCAGTAACCACACACCCTTGATCCTAGATCCCACACTCTAGATCCAGCCACCTCTGAAAAGCCCCACCTATGACCACACGAGGCTTTGGGGGACATCTAGACACAAGCCATACACCTTTGTAATGCTCCATCTTTTTTTTTCCGTATGGGGAATTGAACTCAGGACCTTGCGCTTGCCAGGCAGGCACAGTGCCACTGAGCTACATCCCCGGCTCTGCCCCATTTTTTTAAATGTACGTCCTCATCTCCTGGTACACAAGATGCCTCAGTAGGTGCAAAGTCCCTATGATGAGTGTTATCATCATGTATATCTAAAATGTACCAAGGGCTGGGGATTTAGCTCAGTGGTTCCACCGCCTGCCTCACAAGCTCAAGGACCCGAGTTTGATCCCCAGTACCAAAAAAAAGAGAAAAAAGTAACAGTAAATGTTTTGCTTCAAAAACAACTAAACAAGATGCCTCAGTATCATCTTATATTTTCCCTGTCCCAGTTCTGGAATAAACCATTTCTCTGAAGATCTATTCTTTTACTGTAGCATCGTATTTTGAAATCAAGATCTGGGCACTTGGTTTGCTCATTGCTACTGGGAGGTTTCACTCCTAGGCCCTCTCAGGAGGCAGCTAGGAAATATACACACATGTAAAATATATATACAAAACCAGTATTCCCCTCTCTATATAGATAGTATATACATTATATATACTATATATGCTCTATGTAGTATATATAATATACATGTGACAGGAGCATTTCTACACAAATTTGGGGGAAAATTATATCATAATTAAAGTATGACTGTACCTGTCTAAGGCCCAGTGTTTCCTTGCCCGAGAGCCGACTATGGCGTGTGGAAACAACTCCATTTTGCGTCTGGTCACAGCTGAGGCCTCAGTGGTTCCCTGATGCTGTGACACTCAAGGGGAAGAGTACATCAGCTGAAGACATCCTGGTTCTTTGAGAACTGAGTAGTAATAAAAAAAGAGAAAGTTTTCAGCTGGGGAGGGACAAGTTCCTTATCAGCTTAATTCATGCACCTCCTGTCCTGGAGGAGATGGACCTCCTGCCTTCATCACCTGAGATCTGCATCAATGTAGGGTCCCCACCGCACCCTAGGTCACCCGATAATTCCTCCGATTAGGGTGTGTACCCAATAATAGTGGCTAGCTCAGAGTCCTTGTCTTTGTCCACTCTGAGGCACTGACCTTTGAAATTTTGCAAGTCTCTGTTGTCTTTTTTTCTCTAGCCCTCGCAGTCCCCCTTTCTAGGCAGTCAGAGGAAATCAGCCTCCGATATGTACAGTTAAGCATCTACACACACACATATGATCATTAGTTCATGCTGATAAATTCTAATCCAACCCCATAGATTCATTCCAGCCATCCCCTTTCCTTATTTCCCACTCTTTTCTTCTATAACAAGAAATCTTAAAAAAAGAAAGAAATCTGGCTTTTATTATTACAATACATTCTGCCAGCATCATAATATTGCTGTGGACTCAGAATACCTTATCCAACCAACAACATGACATTCCCCAAATCACTGCATCTAATTAAAACTGTTTTACAGCAAGAGAATTGCAACAGGGGGTTCATGCTCACGGAATTAACTAGCCTGCTGACATGGCTCGTCCGTCCAAGGCAGCTGGGCTAATAAAAAAGTTGGGATAGTTTACTGAAGACTAAGTATGGCGTCATTTGAGAGACAGTACTCTGTGAGGATGGCTTTTGTCTTACAGGATGCAGTGAGTCTTGAATCAGAGAGCATTATGTAGTGCTCCCTCCCCCTTAGCTAGAGTAGATAGGTCTGTGAGTCAGCAGGTGCAAGTGGGAGTGTCTTCTCTCACCGCTACACTTGCTAACCCTCTTTCACAACTTTTGCATCTTTTGCCAGAAACTTTTAGTTCTCTGGCTTGGAGGTCTTAATACTCAAGGGAACCTGATAATGGTCACATTTAATTGAAAGATAAAGGCTGGTACATGCACATTTTGTGCTACTTATGCCATCAAAAAGCAATTCTCAGGCCGGGGATTTAGCTCAGTGATGCCACTGCCTGCCTCGCAAGCTCAAGGTCCTGAGTTCGATCGCCCGTACCAAAAAAAAGAGCCATTTCTCTACTGGCTGGAATGATACATCCCTGTTACATGGGGGAATTGGGTTGTTGCTCCCCAGTGGGTGCAAGGAATATGATCTCTAGAACTCAGGGCTTCTTCAGGGCACCTCTTCATATGACTAGTGTAAAAGTTCATGGAAAACTACAGTAATCAAAAGAGGCAGACGCCTGCCTCAAAAGTGCAAGGTCCCAAGTTCAATCCCCGGTACCAAAAAAAAAAAAAAAGGCAGGACAGAGTTCTGAGAATTAACGTTTGGATCTTTCCACCAGGTAGAGAACCTCAACTAGTTAAATTCTGCATTTGATCTTAACCAAAAGGCCGAGGAGTGATCAACTAGTTAAATTCTGGCTGGTGGGGGGGGGGAGAGCAAATGGGTAGTAGAATAAAAAAGTCATAGATATCAATTATGTCTTATGATCAATTAAAGGAACTGCACTCTCTTTGCCTGTTATATATGTGTGATTAATTGTCTATACCTAAGGCCATTTTATCCTTTTTCTTGCCTTTTTTTTTTTGGTACTGGGGATCGAATTCGGGACCTTGCGCTTGTGAGGCAGGCGCCGGAGCCACTGAGCTAAATCCCCGGCCCTGCCATTTTTATTTTATAGACAAATGGCTGAAGTAAATGTTGTAGTTTACTCTTTAGACAAAAGAATATTCGGTGAGATCATAACTGAATATAAGAAGCAAAGGACCCTACAGTGACTGTAGGGTGCACAAGTCTCCTCATTTTAGGGAAAACATGAGAACACCTTCATTTCTAAGGTGAACATCTGTGTCTTGTTGGGATTGTACAGAAATTTTGTTGTATCAGAGTTCAGATGCAAGCTGGGCATGGTGGTGCACACCTGCAGTCCCAGCACTGAGGCTGAGGCAGAAGGATTCCAAGTTCAAGGCCAGCCTGCACCATATAGTGAGACTCTCAAATAAACGAGAGTTCAGATATTTGTAAAAGGAAACACATGGAAGGTGAGTAGCCAAGGTAGAGTCTACTAGTTATCAATTTATTGTCTTTTGGATGCAAATTTACTCATTACCTGATATGCAAAAAACGGAGCTGGTCCCTTCACGTATTTTCCTTTGTCAGCTAGCACTGTGCTAAACTCTTGCCTGAAGAGGGCGGTGGAGAGTCACTGCAGGAGGAAGGAAGAAAACCTGGTCTGCCCTGTTCCTGCAGTGTTGCAGGCTCCTGCCGGCCCCTCCAGGGCCCAGCTCCAGCTCCAGCTCCTGCAGTGCACAGCAGCCAGTGGCCAACAACTTGTCCTGCCCATCTCTGGGGCAGTTTTGTAGCAGAATGGCTCCAATGAGAGGCATGAGCAACGTTCTCAGGCACCACCGCAGGCGGACTGTCAGCAAGTTCTGACACCGGAGTACCACAGCAGCTCCTCCACCATTCAGGAGGGGTGGCTCGGCCCTCTCTCCGGGGTCTGGATTCTGCCCTGGCAGAGGGGCTCTTGAGGTTGCGCCTTCTTTATGTTATTTCTATATTCTTGAGCATTCCTTCTACTTCTTGCTAACCTAACCCTCATTTCTCCAATCCCTTATGGTCATTAATAATTTCATATATTACACTTCCCTATTCAAATGTCTATGTGTTTTTTGTCTCCTGATTGGACCCAGGCTAGTCTGCCCCTGAAATAGGTTGGGAATCCCTGGTTCCTACCTCTGTGAGAAGCACAGAGAGAAACAAACTACTGAATAAACTATAACCCGTGTACAGTCTTTTTCCATCTCAGTCTGTTTATTTTCATTTTTGTGGTGCTGGGGATCAAACCCAGGGCCTTGTGCCTGCTAGGCACAGTGGCCCTGAGCTGTGTCCTTAGCCTTTCATGAGGGCACTGATCTCCTTCACGAGGGCTCGACCCTCAAGACCTAATCAGCTCCCAAAGGTCCCCCTTCCTTATGCCACCACCTTGGACATTAGGATTTCAACATACGAATCTGGGGGAAGAGACAAATATTCAACCCATGCAATAATATTGTTTTTGGTTTTTTGTTTGTTTATTTTGGGGGGAGTTTTTTTGTTATGGGAGGTCGAACTTGGGTCCTTGTGCTTGTGCAGCAGGCGGTGAAACCACTGAGCTAAATCCCCAGCCCAATAACATTGTTTTTAATGGTGGGAAAACAAATACTAGAAATAACTTTAATGTCTATCAGTAGAGAAATGGCTGAAAACATAGTATGAAATAGGCAACCTGGCACACTACAGAATGCAGCAGGTTTGTTTGAATAAGGAGCACAGAAAAATCTCTAAGGTTTGTAGTTGCGAGGGGCAAAGTATAGAATAATAAATATGACCTAATATAATTTATGAGAAACCAACAAATAAAGAACTACCAAACAAAACCATTTAATTTATGCATGTACATTTACATATATAGAAGGCCATAAGAAAAAGATTTGGAATCACTTCTCAGACTTTTGGCTAAGATCAAATGTAGTAAAAGATTTAGAAAGTTTGCATATCAAACTGAAAAAGTAGCTACATTGGAAGGGAGAGACTGGGAATGTGAGGGAAAGAGACTCAAAGGGAACTTTGATCTCTATTGTATTTATTTTTCAATATTAATGTGCTTACATATGACTTGTGTAACTGCAAATAAAAATATCAGCTGGGTGTGGTGGTACATGCCTATAATCCTAGTACTTGGCTGAGGTGGGAGGACAGCAAGTTCAGGACCAGCCTGGGCAACTTAGTGAGACCTTGTCACAAAATAAAAAGGTCTGGGCATGTAGCTCAGGACTCCCTGGCCTTAACTCCCAATACTGCTACCTATATGTATATGTAT